TCTGTAACACTGACTCAGGTAGGATCCTCTTTACGTAAATGGGTACGTCCCCAGTGGGAGAACCCCGCCCACCAACGATACTGAGACCCAGCCCCTGACCAATTCTCCTTTGATAACAACTTAGCCTGTAACTTCAACTCATTATCAAAGAGAAAGAGAGAGATGTAACTAAAGAAGGAAGGGTGTAATATAAATTTTATATAGTTGTGGGTACAAAAGTATTCACTATCTAACTTAATTTACTTACATGTATTAGGAAATACCGTAGGGCGCCTTTTTTTCGAGGGCTGTAAATTTCGCAGATTTCTTGAAGATTCGCAAAAATTACTTATGCGAAAATCAAATTATTACGGTACAAGATGGCAGATGGCATAAATTCATGAAAATTATATTCGCGGAATTGATTTTTAGGCAATTTTGCGAAATTTATAGCCCTTGAAAAAAAGGCACCCTACAGTACACAAATGTATAACTCCAATAATGTGACTCATAATGTATTAATACAAACAGTCAAACACACACACATACACATGTACCACTACAGGCATAATACAAGAGCATGTACATGTATACAATTTATGTAGTACTACATATAATGTATACATGTACATGTACATGTATATGTATATGTACATAAAATATACACATAAAGAAATAAACAATTTTTATGATTTTATTGTTAAAATATAAGAATAAAATGTATTATGTATATGTGACCATAATTGACAAAAGGTACCTTATGGCGGATAGGAAAATTGGCCTGAGCTCCATTTATCATAAAATTACTCCAGAGGATGCTAAAAGTTACTATGTAACTTTTAGAAACAATAGTTGTCTAATAGAGCACTCACAGGTTGATATTTTTCATCATAATGATGAATTTTAAAATCCGCCATAAGGTACCTTTTGTCAATTATGGTCACATATGTACATAAAATATACACATAAAGAAATAAACAATTTTTATGATTTTATTCTTAAAATGTAAGAACTACTAGTGAGTACTATTATCATTCTCTTTCTTTTGGTAATAAACCATACAATAATAATTAGATTATTAATTCATAGTCATTAATTGTTTTGTATTATATGTGTGAGGTAAATTGGCGGACTGCCATAACCAGCAGCTGCTACTACAAGTTACAACAAACAAATTCATTTATAATTACTGCCATGGAAGCATAAAAACATCAATATGTACCAGAAAATGTAATAAAAAATGGAGGTGATTTTTTAGTCATTTTTTGGAAAAACCATGGGCTATAGCCTTGGGCATTTTTTGAAAATTGGCTTGTTTTTTTAAATTGTCATACATTGTAACTCAAAAATTTCTTATCGGAATCACCTCAAACTTGCTACGCAGCATAAGGACATCAATATGTATCAGAAAATTTAATAAAAAATTGGGGGTGATTTCGGAGCCAATTTTTAGAAAAAACCATGGGCTACAGTAGCCTTGGGTATTTTTCAAAAATTGGCCAGTTTTTAAAAATATTCATAACTTGAAAATTTCTTATCGGAATCACCTCAAACTTTCTATACAGCATAAGGACGTCAATATGTATCAGAAAATGTAATAAAAATTGGAGGCCATTTTTAGTCACTTTTCGGAAAAAACCATGGGCTATAGCCTTGGGTAATTTTTAAAAATTGGCCCATTTTTTTAAATGGTCATAACTCGAAAATTTCTTATCGGAATCACCTCAAACTTGCTACATAGCATAAGGACATCAATATGTATCAGAAAATGTAATAAAAATGGGGGGTGATTTCGGAGCCATTTTTCGGGAAAAACAATGGGCTATAGCCTTGGGTATTTTCCAAAAATTGGCCCGTTTTTTAAAATGGTCATAACTCGAAAATTTCTTATCGGAATCACCTCAAACTTTCTACACAGCATAAGGACGTCAATATGTATCGGAAAATGTAATAAAAATTGGGAGTCATTCCAGAGCCATTTTTTGGAAAAAACCATGGGCTATTGCCTTGGGTACTTGTCAAAAATTGGCTTATTTTTAAACTCAAAATAAATCAGTGTGAATATAATGTATCATAAAATGGCTACATACACTTTGGTTTGGTCTTTGCTCTCTTCCTCTGACATTTCTTCTTCTGATTCCTCTTCCTTCTAAAAAATAAAATAATAAAATAACTCACACACTCTCTCAATACTCCACCTCTTCTTCTAACTTTGGTCTTT